CTTCGAAGATTTTTAGAATAAAAAATTTTCGAAGTTTTTTTATTATTAAAATTTTTTATTTTAGAAATTTTCAAGAATTTTTAAAGATTTTCGAAGTTTTTTCCGGAAATTTTCGAAAATTTTTTTATGGGTGGAGATCTCCGGAGATCTCCACCAAAAAATTTCCTGATGTATTATATTGTAACTTACCTAATATAGTATAGCTAAAAAAATTGCCATATACAAAGTAATTATTTGAAATACAAGATTGGTGAATTGATTTGTGTTATTATTATAATTTTAACTAAATTCATATACTTCTTTTAAAAAAAAACTATATTATTATTGCATAGTATAAGTCAAATAAAAGTAATTGATTTGTTGTAATTTTACTATAACAATATAATTATTATTTAATTTAGAATTTAATTATTTAATTTTTAGAAAATTTAATATTATCTAATTTTATAAGATAAAATTTAAATAAACAAATTTTTTAAAAACAAATTATTTTTAAATATAATAAAAAAATTTTTGCTTTAATAAAATTTAATTTAAAAACTTGTTATAATTTTATTTTAGATCTGTTTGTTTTAAAAATATAATAGAGAAAAAAATTATAAAAGTTGATTTTTTCTAAAATATTTTTCTTGTTATAAAAATTTCATGTTTTTTTTAATTTTTAAAATAAGATAATACTTTATTAAATAAAAAAAAGAATCAAACAATTTAAAAGTAATAGAAAAATATTTTGTTTTATTTAATATAATATATAAAGAGAACGTATAGACTATATTAAATAGAAACAAAAAGTATTGTTAAGTAATTTTATTATTACTATAATTTTTAGATTAATATTTTCTAGTAATTAATACTATTATATATAGTATACAATAAAATTTATATTTTAATGTAGTTTTAATGATTTATAATTTTAATCAAGTAACATATAGTAAATTAAGTAAATAATTGAGAATCATGATCGACTTTATGTATATACAGACGTATGGTATCGAAAATGCAAACTAATAATATGTTTAAAATCAAATGTATTTAGTAATATCAAATATTAAGAGTATAAAATTAACGGTAATATACAGCATATCAATCGGTGTCTTACTTAAAAGCTAAATTTAAACCAATAATTTGACGTTATCTTACTGGTGTTCATTTGCATTACATAAAACGATTTGATCACGTATTATCATTTTAACAATTGTCCAAGTCTAAATGAAATAATAAGGATCAAACAATGAATGGCACGGGCCACAACAATAAATGATGCATGCACCCAATACTTTAAATTATATACGGTACATTTCACATTATCTCTGTATACTTGTATGTATGATACTAATGATATACTCGAAAGAATTAACCATCGTTACCCTGCTTTTTTCCTCTCATACTTAATTCCAGGTGTAATATTTGTACTCATCCATACGCACTTTGTTCACATGTTAACCTCTTTGTCTTCTGATCAAAATAACCATTGTCATATTTCCTCGAGGCGTATGAAATAACTTTCGTGCATATCTCTCATGCATCCTTCGATCCTAAAAATGATTATTGTGTATTAAATAATTCACAGCACAATTTGATATGCATAAATAATAACCGTTAATTTCAAAAAGGTAACGGGTGCGCGCAATCCATGAGAGAATAATGTATTGCGATTCTTGAAAGTAATACGACAACACGCGTCACACATGAATTTTTCAGAGTTGGACCTGAGTTTTACTGTGCTTCAGTTCATATTCCGGACAAAATCATGCTTCGAACTTTGGAATAAAGGAAATTTGACAATGCAATATTGTCTGCAGCCGTGACGGGAGTAAAAAACCGCTAACCGTTAATGAGATGCATAAGCACGTATAACCCGGATCAAACTAATGTCCCCAATCTTAAAGGCACGAACCCTGAAGTTGAAAATTGGATCCTTTTTACCTTATATCACACATATTCTCCCACTAATTATATTCAGGTCAACAAGAACTTCAATGCGCCTCTTTATCTGGTGACATTTCCCTGAATACCACCAAACTCCTTTTCCGAAAGAATCGCATAATCCAAGATCTGAATCGTTAGATAAAATGTATTCTTAAAGTCACATGCACTATTTAAATCATTTACAAATAATTGTGGATATCGGCGTATACGTATGCAATAGAAAACAAAAAAACATTTATTTTTTTTTTCTCGGTTATACAGCGCGCAATTTCCTTGTATATGAATTTTACTTGCAATTTTTCCTACAAAGGATAACAAAGAGTTTGATACATGCGCTATTGGAAGGGTGCGAGATAATTTCAGAAAATGGATGCATTTTTATTCGTACAGGTAAAAATAAAATAGATATTACAAGCAGATAAGGAATGTAACTGTCGGTATTAGAATTAATAAGTTGCTTGCGTGATTTGACGATAGCTTTCCCATGAGCCTTTTCTTTACGCCGCAGAATTCCCAAGATCATCGAGAAGATGCGCGTTTTATTACATTTTCACTGTATGTCACATATTTATGATCAAATTTGTCATATATTAAAGTACATACGTTTAATGAAGTAAGTTACTGTATAATAAATTAAAAGGAGATTTTTTTTTTACTCGTGCATACGCCTTTTGATGTCAACTTCTCCGAGTACGTGTCCACAAAAACTCTCACACATATGGAATTCCGCAGAGACCTTAAGAAGCCAAAATGGACATGTAGAATCATGATTTTCAATTCACCAGTAAATTAATATGTTTCAGTCCTCCCCTCACGTTGGCGTCATAAAATAAACATGCAACAATTTTAATACAAAAACTCAGACACGCCTCAGCTTTTACGATAAATATTGAAAGCCTTCTCTTCTTAAAAAAGAAATAGTTACATCTTTAATGAATCATGTTTAAGCATCTTCGCGCAACTTACAGTTTCATCTATGGCTTCATCGGTTTTCTTAATGTTGGTTGTCTCTGTCCAATTGTCTTCTTGGTTCCAGATGACATACTGTAAAAGTGTATAATGCGCCAACACTTTAGGTAGAGTGCGCAATACGTATGAATACCCTTATGGGAATGAGGGACATTCCTTATTTCCTTTTACGTATCGAATATAGATCACCTGACAATAATGAATTAATAAAGGGAATTCCAAGTACGTACATGAAGGTAATTTGTCATTTGGTCATCGCAATTACAAAATCACAATGTAAGCGGTCATGCGAGTTTTATTTTATTGAAATAAAAAAGGAATTATTCGTATGATATCTTCATTTTTTATTGTTTTGATATTCTTGTTTTCTACTTTTAACTACATAAATCGGTAGTGTGCCAAAGCATGCAGGGTAAATACAGTGATAATTTGGTGCATATTATTGTCGAGGTCTGCAAGTTGGTCGGAAACTGTCATCTGTCATCATTTGCCCTACACGACTTTTTGTCTATTCTCGCGCATTCCGCGTCGAATGCAAAAAAAAAAAAAAAAAAAAAAAAAAAAATGATGGTGAAAAAGAACATGCGAATTTTGCAAAGACCCAACTTTTATTTCTCTTTGATGTACTCAAGAGAAAAAACATGTATTTTGCGATTTGGAAATCGGAAATCACATGCAATGGTCTGATCAAATCACCGGTCATTCGTTTACCATCTTTTCCTAGGTAATTAAGGATGTCATTCAGCTGCAGCACGCGTTTTTTATCTCACGTTATTTACTGACACTCCATCCAGCTTACGGTTTACGTGTCACGACGAAAGCAGTAATTTCAAATAGTACTAGATTCAATTACTTTGGATGTTTTCATTACCAATTCACCATTGTAGATATCGCTGATTTTTGTGATTTCAGAGTATGTAAAGGTGTTTGTATCTTTATATATATGCGTATATATAGTCGAATCAGAATGTATGCTACATTTTTTTTTCTATGTCCTCCGATTCCGGAAAGAACGGAGAAAAAAAAGTTCGAGAAAAGAGAAAAAAAAGAAAAACGTGGAGGCGCTCGGAGAGCAAAGAACGCAGGCGAATAAAATCGACGATTATACTGTGACCGAAAAGGGAATTTGTGAAAGTGAAAAAGAAGTGCGAAGAACCCAATCGAAATACCTCCAGTGAATAATAATATATGATAAATAAATGAATAATTAAATAAACAGTTAAATAAATAAACTCCCAAAATAAACCCAAGAAAGGAAAAAACCCTTTTACGTGTCATTTTTTTTATTATTTCTTTTTCTTCTTTCTCAATAATAAAAATATGTGCAAGGTAGAAAATCATTTTTTCAATGAAAGTATTGATGATGATGGTTCACAGAATCATTCATATAATTTTGACACTCGAATCCAGCGAGTATCTCGTCAAGAGAAGGGTTACCGACCACAGAGTTTGTGGGGTTACCGTTAACGCCATTTCCGCTATTTTGGTGAATATACTGGTAGAGCGCGGTTCTCGCATTGGGGCCAGGAGAACCATTCGACGGCGTGACGGAATTGGAGTGAGGTTGTTGATCATGGTGGAGCATCGCCTCCGACATCATATGTTGCTGCGTCTGTATCACTTCGGGAATCAAGCAGCATAACGGGTCAATCGGGTGTGAAAATCCGTTGGCATTGTAGAAGGGGGTCAGCCCGTTGACGGAAGTGAACGGGAAATTGTGATTGTTGCCATGATGGTGTTGAGGAGGTTGGTATGCGTGTGGATGCAAGTCTTCTGGGCCGTAGCGCAAAAATTGATCTCCATATTGATGACGGATTTTATTGAATTCGTTATCGCGCAACTGGATATGGTGAGGTGAAATCGGGGTTAGAGGTGCGTTCGGGGTAATCGGTGTGGTTGGTGCAAGTGGTTTCTGCGAATTGACGAATTCCTCGGGGTTTTCCGTGAACAAGGGAATCTCGGGACTCGAAAGAATTGTGTAAGAAGGCACCGAATCATTATGCGAATGAACATTGTGTTGCTGATGCGACATGCTGATTGATGGTGGTTGCGCGCCGAATACATTTAAATTGGTCACCGTCTCAGGGGAGGGAGAGTCCGAAGTCTTTTCGGTGGAATTCTTCGTGGATTTTCTCCTCACCGGACCGGTGCTGATGGGCGAATCCTTTTTCGATGAACGCCTCCGTTGCTTTCTCTTATCAACCTTGGAACGGTTTTTGTTGGGACAGTATACATAATTTGGGTAGGTTTGCATGTGTTCCAACTTCTTCTGATCCGCCAACCTTTCCCACATTAGGATGGTCTCGTTGGATTCGCTTTTCCACATGTCGGAGATTTTTTTCGAAATTTCTGCATTCGTGAGATGCTTGTGAGAGGCGATGATCCCTGGTTGTTTGGCTTTTCGATACAAGATGAATGCATTCGGTGGTCTAGGTGGTGATCTCTTGGGTGGTTGCCGTGTCTTACCACCATCCTCGCTGCTGCTGTCGAGTGAATCAGGAGCATTCTGTACGGTGCTCTGGTCATTTCCAGTTGCAGCACCAGCGGACAGAACGGTCACAGGATAATTTGGAGAACGTGGGACGCAATTCTGTGGCATAGATTGATTGCATATTTCCAGTGAACCGACGGTACTTTGAGAATTTGACGTGGGAGGTACGCCAGCGTCATCGTTGTTTGTTGATAACCTAGATATTATTGGCACATCGAACATTAAGAGTCCACAATGTTTCCTTTTCGCTTCAATGTCCATTATCGTTATTTTCTTTGAAGAAGAAAGAAAAAAAAAGAGAGAACGAGATGAATCAAGAGAATGTAATGTGAATTAACGAAGGCTAATTAGTTAAATGAAGACTCTGACGGGAGATTTTCCGTCAGGAAGTTATGTAAGGGGTGGCTTCAGTTGGACTGTCGGTAAAGAAAAGAAAAGAATGGGTTACGGTCCCCGAAGGTAAATTTAGTTGTCTACTTGAAATGGAAAAAAGAAGGAAATTTGATGTTATTTATATACTGTAAGATTTCAATTTCAATGATCCTTTACGACTATTGTTACAATATTTATTGTTTGACTTGTGTGACAGTAGCCATTTCCCATATATGGACAATAAGGAAGGTTCATTAAAAAATTTTTTTTCGGATATTGGATTTTTTTTTTTATTTTTTTTTAAACTAAAATTGAATGTGACAAAACTACAAGAACCCTAAAAATAGTTCCATGTGGCAAAGATGATATAATGAATTGCATATACGGAAGAAAAAATCAAATTGAAAAGGTAATGGTAAAAATGTGAATTCCGCACTTGAAATTGGTGTTTCCTTTTATTTTTAATTACATTTATAATTATATAATTTATTTTATGATGTGAGTATTAAGAGGGGATCTTTATTCTCCCGTGTAGTTGACAATTTAATGACTGTTAGTACATGTGAGAAGTTAGAAAAAAAAGGGTCCTGGATCTTTTTGTACTTTTTTTTTTTTATGCTACCCATAATAAACGACTCAACCGATTTTTTTTTCTCATTGATTAATGTGTTTTTTTTTTTTACGAATTCTAGTGATAAGTAAAATCACGTGGTAGAATCTTTAAGTTTCGGTGTCAGATGCTACCGTGGATCCGCTTTTGTATGTGCGTACTCACTCGCGGTTTATAAAAATGAATTTGAAAAGGCCTCACGTATCAAATTAATTGGAATCCTTCTTTTACCGATAAAGTAGGCGTCAAGCTATTAAATTATAGAAATATTATAAAAAGAATATAGAGAACACAAATGATTCATGATACGCTTTTCTCACTCTATCCCAAGATGTTCTAATTGATTTATTTATAAATGTTCAACAAAACAATATATAATTTCATGAATTGGAAACAATAAAATTAAGTATCGCGCATTTATTGTTGAATCAGATGAGCAGGTGCAAGTTTCCATTCGGAAGTAAGATTTAGTCATCATCTTATAAATCAATTCTCTTAGCAAAACTTTCCAACTACGGACAGCTTGTTTTTCTTGGCGCATGCAATTAATATTTTAATTCCTAGTTCAGTTCTATACGGATTTCCAAGGGCGACAAAAATGATGGTATGATAGTCGTAAATGGTGTGGCTTTTTTTATACCAGAAATCTTTGAATGGAATTCTTGTGGCGCATAACACTACAATGGCCTCTATAGTTGTGGCTGATGACGTAATGTTTCAAAATGAGTAGTCATTATTCCTTCTTAGAAGTTTGACCCATTGTTGACGTCCAAATTTATCGATCTTCCGCGCATCAATGGTAAGATCACGTGATACATCAACGTTTTTTACACAGCCTCAGCCCTGATTAAGCAACGATATTATTCGTATTAGGTGAACACACACACACACAATATATCCCATTCTCTCCTTTTACAATAAGGTTCATTGTTTAGAGGTATAATATAAAAAATTTCCAACGATTTTCTTGTGCCTATTGTATGAATACTACCATCCAAGAAAATCAGCGCACGATTTTTTTTCCTTTTTCTCACTACTCGTTATCTTCCAGTATATGACAAACCGGAAATTACTGTGGATATCATTAATCGAATTTTTGTCTAATTTGTGATCTTGGTGAACTTAAGAAAGTGTTCTTGTCATAAATCTTCTGGGATGTATTTATTGTATTTTATTACAGAAATAAGTATTTTGAAAGAAAAAAAAGAGACATTTCTCTGCAAATTAATTGCAGTTTATTTTGCGATCGTGAATGTGTCATAAAAGGTTTGGGAATACGCCAGGCATAATTTCAATTTCAGTTTGGTGTTACTCCTTAAGCGTGACCAAATTGTGGTCTCAAGTCAAATTAACTAGAAAAGCTTTGAATTCATGATTTTTACTGATTTCGCACGATTCCAATACTTGCTTGATAATTAATTGGTTAATTAATTAACTTTCAAATCCATTTCCACGTGTTCGTTCATCTTAACCCTATCAATCCGCGGACGCCGTTCTCCGATCTTTCCGCACCATGAACTGCGCATGCGACGGACACAATCAGTTATAGTCAACAGACATTCGTATTAGTCGAGATAAAGTCATTCACGCGGAATACACCCCGCCAAAGCGGAAAGTTTATGCCTGTTTAAAAAATGCATTTCTTTTTTTTTTTTTTTCTCTTTCGGGTCTTTGAAGATGGCTGGGGCCTGATTACGCATCCTCGTGCTTTTTATGTGTATAAACGAGGAGAGCCACATGCCAAGGGTCTTGTTACACGGCGGGACCTAAGAATTTCGAAAGAGTCGTTGGCAGTTTCCCCAACGGTTACGCACAAAGGACTATTGCATGAAGATCTCGACGATCATCAAGCATGAAACATTATCCTGATACATCTCACTCGGATGAAACACAAGATGATAAATTGTTTGACGAAGTACAAGAGATAATTGGAAAAAAATCGACCCTTTGAGTGTGAAGTGTCACCAAAATAGTATGTGGTGATACGAAACTACAGAAATCTTTGTTGTTCCTAAAATCCCTCTA